ATCTTCCCCTAGATGACAGTAAGAAATAAGAATTCTCAACGATATGGAAAAAAAAAACATAAACCATTAACTACTACTAACTATGATGATTGTTGTATGTATATAAATAAATTAATAGAATAAAACTAGAAAAATGCGTAACACTTGGAATCATCCAGCTAAAGTACGTATATTCTGGTTTATGTTAAAATTTTCCTACTTCGTGTCCTTGGAATGTATGTTTCTTATATGCTGAACCCTAGGTTGCAATTTTGGGAAACCTTTCTCGCTATGATTTCTACAGTTTGTTAATCCTGAAATTCTTTTTGTGTGTATTGGTCACTTTAATTTGGATTTTGCTGTGCTTACCTATGAGGAGGAGAATAGCTTATCTCCCATGTTTTTAAGGCTCAGTTTGGAAGGAGTACGAATACAAATATGTAGAGTGCAAAACCTTGTATTTTGTATTATTTTGTATGTATTTGTATTGTTCATATTTGCATTTGTACTCTTTCCAAACTGAGCCTAAGAAATCAAGCCCCAAAAACAAGCTTTCCATGAATTTGTGGATAGTTGTCAACTTACAGAAGTTAATATCTTGGGGAGAGCTCATACTTGGACAAATGGTCAAAGAGGATTGGGTAGATTAGTAAAGAGGCTAGATAAAATTTTTGTCCCTGAAATATTTTGAGGCTTTCAAGCATATTCAAGCTTTTGTTTGTTTGAGATGGGGTTCAAACCATAAACCAAAACCTTTTTGTTTTTTTTTTTGTTTTTTTGTTTTTGAAGCTTGGCTTTAAGAAGATGAGTGTTGGGGTACAATAAGAAATAACTGGAAGATGGAGATTAGACTAGGAACAAACAGATATTTGGTGATGTTAATGAGAAAGTGAACAAGACCAATGAAAAGATCAAATTGGAACAGATAGAAAACTCAGAAGAAAACTAGAGCTAATTGGATGGATTGGTGAGGTTAAGGGGATAACTCTTGGATTAGTCGGAATCCTTTTGGTGACAAAAATCTAGGCAATGTGATTAGACAGGGATGACCAAAATACAAGTTTCTATCATAGAGAAACCTTTTTCCTAAGCGAAGAAATATTATAGTCTGGATAAAGGATGAAGAGGGTAATTGGTTAAATAAACAAGAAGACATTTCTAACCTGTTAGTCAATCATTTTTGGTATCTACTTAAATCACAAAGAGTGGGTGATATTGATTTCCCAAATATTTTTGATAAAGTCATTTCTGATGAGGATAATGCTTATCTTCTTCAGCCTCCGTCTTTGGAGGAAATGCAAGGTGTGGTCATGGCTATAGGTGGCCTGAAAGCCTAGGGCCCGTTGAGATTCCTGCTATTTTTATCAAAAAATTTGGGATGAGATGGGTCAGGACTTATTTGATTATGTTTGGAAGTTTTTTTCCCAATAAAAAGTTTGTTGGAAGGATCAACTATATGTATATTACCCTTATTCCAAAATGTGCTGACCATCGGAGAGCGAAGGATTTCCATCCTATTAGTCTGTGTTATGTTTTGTATAAACTTATCACAAAACTCTTCGCTAACAGAATGAAACCATTATTGCAAAAATGTATCCCTTTTAGGGTGCCTTTGTTCTAGGAAGGCAAATCCATGATGATATTGTTATTCCCTCAAGAACTTTTGCATTTTGCCAAGATAAGAAGGTAAGAAGGGGGTTTTATGAATGCTAAATTGGACATTTCAAAGGCTTATGAAACTCTAAATTGGGATTACCTGGTGTGGGTTTTGAGAGAGGCTTTTGTCATGAGTGGTGTGATTTCATTAGGGATTGTGTTGAAAATGCAAGTTTTTCTATTTTAGTTAATGGAGTGGCAAAAGTCCATCTTGGGGCATCTAGAGCTCTAAGATAAGGGAGATTCTTCATATCTGTTTGTGTTTTCTTAAAGCCAATGGTGAGGGTAAGCTAAGAGGAGCTAGAAGGTATTAAGGTTAATAGGGGAGCTTCTAGAATCTATCATTTAATGTTTGCCGATGATGTTTTGTTTTTTGGGAAAACAAATAGAGCGGTGGCTATTGATTTCTTGGATGTGTTAAAGGATTTTCAATCCTTGTCTGGTCTTCAAATAAATCTTTAGAAGTCGGGCCTTTTGTTTTGCAGGAATACTCCTCCAATGGGTCAAAAGATGATTAAAAAGACAATTAAAAATGTTCCCTCTCCCCAAGGAAATATTTGGGAGTCCCTTTGCTGTGGAGAAAAACAACAAAAGCATGAATCGTTGGAATTTATATTGGAGAATGCAAAGTAACTTGGCCCAATGGAAGCCTTCCTGCCTTTTGTATGCTGGGCGAAGAACCCTTGTTCAATCAACACCTCCATCCATTCTCATGTAATGGCTGTTAATCAATTCCCTTCTAAAACTGTAAAAGAAATTGAGAAAACTCATAGGAAAACAATAGAGTTTGAAATGGACTGATTAGACATGATTGGATGCTCCAAAAAAAAGGAGGGGAGGGGGTTAGGCTTTAAAACACCAGTCTTATTAAATAAATACATCCTCAGTAAATTGGCTTAGAATTTTTTAAGGGAGCTGAATGCCTTGTGGGGGAAGATTTTGAAGTGTCAGTATCTCAAAAATCATGAATTAATTCTTTATAGGATTTTCCTTGCTGCTTCTCAAGTGTGGAAGGCTAGGGGGTGTTCACGAGTTGGTTTGGTTTAGTTGTAGGCTATTTGGCTACTTGAGCCAATTTGGTCGGGTTGGAAAATTAGTCACCTGTGACCAACTGACCAATAGTGGAAACCAATCGATTTGGGTTGGTTTTCGGTTTGGTCAGTCAATTCAAGAGATTTAAATTTAAAAAAGTAAATTTAAATTTTAAAAACTATAGTAATATTATTAGAAAAATAAATTTATAAAAAAATAAATTTACAATATAAAATATTAATATGTATCTATGGTTGGGTAAGGTTGATTTTGGTCAGTTTACACATGGCTAAAGCGAAACTAACCCGACCTCTTGGATTAGCATAATGAATGAATCGAAACTAACCAAAAATACTAGAAAACTGATTAACTTGGGTCAAATTGAGTCAGGTTGATCGGTTTCATTAGTTTGACGAACAACCCTACAATTTGGGCCCTGTTGCTTAATTTGAGTGTTCAAATCTGTAAAACTTTTCTTATTAATGTTTGGAATTACCCTTGGATATTTGATGGAAACGAGTTTAAGGCTCCTTGGGCCTCCCACCAGAGTGGATCGGAAATTAACTATTAAAGATTTACCAAGTGAGAGTGGAGAGTGGAATGTGGCAAAATTAAATCAATCATTCTCTCAAGAAGAGGTGAGGCTCATTTTGAGTAGTCATTTTTAGGACCATTGAGCAAGAAGTTTTTCTCTGGATGGGATCGCTTAATGGTAAATTTTCTATCAGAGTCATTTATGACCGTCTTTAGAAGGCCACTAATGAAGGTCAGGAGGAGAATCAAATGAATTTGGTCCTGAAAATCTGGGAGTTAAAGATTCCACCAAAATTTAAGTTATTTTCATGGAGGTTAGTTAGAGGTTTTGTTTTCACCAAGAATTTGCTGATAAATTTTAGTCTGAACGTGGAGAATTCTTGCTCTTAGGAGGAGAATTTGATGCATTTATATCTCTTGTCCTGAACACTTTTCACACAAATGACCATTTGAATTCTGTTCTAAGTTGGCTGGCTTTTGCCTTTTGTTTTATTTGAATTGCTCGGAATGATATTATCTTCAATCACGTTAATCACTTAGTCAATTGGGTTTTGAACTCGATAAGAAAAGTGTTCGTTGAGTATTCATCAAAAAGAAAAAAAAAAATATTCGTTGAGTTTGGAATGTGTTTTACAGATTCTGTGGGTTATTCTCAGGAGAAAACAATTTCTAATTTGGATCTCAGTTTTAATCTTCCTTCTCTGACTCTTTTGATGCTATCTGTAAATGATGGAGGTGTTGTATTAAATTCTAGTATTTCTTGTGGCATCTGTGTATTTAATACTAATAAAGAGTTTTTATTTGCTGCAGGTGGGAGGAAGGACTGTGCCGGAAAGAGTTTAGTGGCTGAATTTTGTGCTATTAAGTTGGCCTTTATTTCTGCTTAGGAGCATAACTGGAATTCTGTTTTTGTTCTTTCTGATGCCAAAACTGTTTTTTTTATTATCATTGAATAGTAAGATTTATTAAATCATAGCCATAGAAAGTACAATTCAGGGAGAGGCACGAGATGCTACCTCCCCTTTAAGGAGGGGAGATGGAAGATTCATCAACCCTTTAATTGAATAAACAGAACAATTGACAAAGAAAATTACAGAGAAGCCCAATACAAAGCAAGCCGAGTAGCCCCTTGTTTAGCAAGATAATCAGCCAAAACTGTTGTGGACTTTTTGAATAGTGGTTCAGTGGTTCTCCTTCCATTCCCAAGGATGTCCATGATTGGGTTGATGATATTAAAAGTTTAGCTTCTCTTTTTGGAACTGCTAATTTTAGTTTTGTGCCTAGGTCTTTTAACAGGGTTGCCCCTTCATTAGCTAATTTGAAGAAGAATATGGATGTTGATGTTGTAAAATGGGATAGCCCTCTTGCTTGTATTGAACCTTTTGTTTCTGCTTTCTGTTAATGAAACTTCATTTTAGTTATAAAAAAACTAATAGATCAAATCAAAGGATATAAAATGTAGATTAATTTAAAAGGAGCAATCAAATTGAAAACCCTAAACAAAGAAAACAAAATAAGTAAATAAAAAGGATGTGACAAACAAATAGTTAAAAAAGAATTACCTGCCGGACATTGTGCACACTACCCCTGGAAAAGAGCTAAATTGACAAAATAATGGGATAATGGTTTAATTTCACTGTTATTCATAATTATAATTATACAACATTTCCTGATTTCTTATTTTTCTCTTCCAACATATAATTGTAAATTATATTATGTATGTCATTTTTAGAAACATCATGCTAAAATTGCCAAAACCATATAGAAGTCCTACAACAGAGAAGAACATGCAATGCATGGAAACATCAACAATGATACTATGGATAAACTGAAAGCACTATGAAACCTGGTTTTGAAGTTCGTCAGTTAGTACACTAAATGGTGTTGTTGAAGAACATTACACAATGGACCATTTAGGACACATCAAAACTTTGATAATCTGAAAAGGAAAAGGAAACTAACATTCCAAATACAACAATAGATCAAAAGAAGGGTGCTTATATATTTTGTTACTTTGAGATAGTTGCTTCCACCAGAGGCGCATTTGGAGTGTCTTGGGGTTTTGGTGGCAGAGGTGGCACAAGTATTTTCTCCTTCGGTGGTGGAGATGGCATTTTCTCTTCTTCCTTTGAATCCCTGTCTTTGGTCTTTGACTTTGATAGTCCAGCCTTTTCTCTGAGCATATCGAGCTTCTCTCTGATCTTCCGCCTGTTCTCTTGTTTCTGAACACGTGCTTCAACAGGTTCTGTTGCAAAAAGGGTGATTCCAGCCAGAAAAGTAGTGGTCATGCAGATCATAGCATCTCTTCGTGAAGCAGTAAGCATAGTTAGGTCTACAGACCTTTGCTCTTGAATTGCCTTGCATCTCACCTATAACAGGAAATGGTGAGACACTAAACTTGAATGCAGATCATTAGAATGAAGACATCTTAACAGTGTTACTTGTTGATGACTGGCAGAGTTTCCCATGATCAATGTTTGCTAGTAGTTGTAGGAATACAGGGTGGAATAATATCATGAAATAAAATCTCGAATTCTTCTTTTAGTATGTAACTAATATTGTACATGTTTGAGCACAATGAACATCAGAACAGAATTTGCACTTTGTTCATGAGTGCGAACTACATCTGCTTTAGTACAGGATCAGGCTCAGGTGGTTTAATCACTGCCTCACAATAAGATTTGTGACTCTGTTCAACTTTGAGTAACTGCAAGTGAAGATCCCACATTCCATAAAATGCAAGCTTCAAAGTCACCCTGCGTTCTCAGAGAAATAGAATAAATTTTGAATTAGGCCCAGCAACTTATGATATGAATTACTCTCATGTGTTTGGTATATGGAGTTGCAAACCAGAATGACAGCAACGGCTCTGTCATACAACTGAGTCTGCATTGAAAAGCAAAATGTTCTAACAAGATGGAGAACTCGTGACTAATTAACAAGATTCCATGATACCAGCATTCCTGATTTTCAAGCCAGTTTTTTCCACTAAACCCATTATTGATGTTTTATGCGAATGTAGAGATTTCACCCGTGACTATCTAAACATTTCTTTTCGTCAGCTGTTTGCAACAATTCTTATACCATCCAAAAACAATTCATAAATTTCAGGTTTGAGATCATCCAACTAGTTTCTCCTCAGAATTGGATTAGATGGAATCCAACCATTTCCTTACAAGGTGAATCATAGTTCAGCATAGAGAGCTAATCATCATCATCACCCGAGCCTTATCCTAATACATGAATCCTGTTTCACCATTCCGTTCTGTTTAAGGGTCCGTTTGGTTTGAAGTTGGAAAGAGAGTTGGAATTGGAATCCTCCATCTGTTTGGTTCAGACAGGAATGGGAATGAGAATTAAAATCAACAGGAATGGGATTTCTTTCCCAAGGGAGGGGCAGGGAATGGCCATTTCCTCAAATGGGGGAATGGAATTGGAATGGGATTCCGATTCCGCCCAACCAAACAGTTGGAATCGGGGCCTAATTTCATATCCACTGTTAAATTATGAGCACATAACTCATTTCTTACTGTTTCAACCCATTTCATTTTTGGTGGGCTTCTAGCATCGCTTCTTCTTCGGGTACTGCAAATAGGTTTTCTATGCACTTAATCAAAGCACTTTCTCTCATTTTATCACCTACTGGAGCTACTTCTAGGTATTAACATAGAAATCTAATACATTCTCAAATTAGAAATTACTCCTTAAAATATGATTCTAAGAAGTCCCCAAGACCAACACCAGGTACAGAACACTTAGTACACGACGGAGAGAGTTGAGAGATAATAGAGCATTAGACGAAGACTTGAAATTCACTAGAAATAAATCGAAACCCCATGTCATTAAGTCAAATGCTGCAGCTATGATGCTTGAGATTTTAATCAAATTGGTAATGAAAGACTGAAAAAGCAGAGGTGATTTAACAGACAATCGCAAAAACTAGTAACTTCATTTAATTTCTGTGTCAAAGTATTTCCTTTTCACACTTACGAAAGATTCAGCCATTGTGGATTTCAATCAAATAGCATTTTTTTTACTCATTCACCATGCATAGAATCCCAGAATACTGTATATTGAAAGAAGGAATCATAAAGCAAGATTCAGGAGAGAGAGAGAGAGAGAGAGAGAGGGCAAAGATCAAAGGAAGTATTTTTCCGAGGGAATGTACCTGAAGAGGAAGAGCTTTCTCTACTACAGTCTGTGATGAGCGTCTGATGTGTGTATATCTGCTTCCTGTCACTGGAAGAGTTGGTCCCACCAGTATCACCGACGATAAAGACATTCTTTCTGCAGAGATCACCGGCTCCGGAGTCTGGTCCTTCACTCCTTCCCTTTCCAAATTGGCAAATTCCAATTCCGAAAGTATTTTACAGCTCCGGTTTTCCTAGAAGTCATTTGTCTTTCCAAAAATACCCTTTAATACAAATGGATCATTTCTGCTCCTTTAATACTGGAGGAAATCCTCCTTCTCATGGTGGATTAGATGGCCACGTCTCCCATATTTGAAAAATGTTATACTATCACAAGTCCACAACAGGGAAAAGCTTGGGTTGCAGACTTCTAGCCGACATGTATCATAGTCTAGTTTCTGGGCCCACTATAACTTGCCGTGTGTCGGCTTGTTACCTATTAAGGAGGATCAGAATTCAGGAATTAGGACAACTATGGAGAAAGGAATGGCATAACAGATTGCCAACAAGATTACAAAAAGCCGCGTACCTATTTAATGGGCTCCGGCCCAAGAATTTTTTTGGTAATCGATCTGCCAAGGAACCTGAATTCTGTTGGGCCGTATTACATGGACCATATTGGGTCCATTGTTTAAAACGAGGAACATGATAATCGAACCAATGAAAAAGTTACAAGATAAATTTACCAGTTTGTCCCCATCGAAAGACTATTTTTTTAATTTGGCTACTAACTCCATGGTATGTGGTTGTGCGCCTGTGAGGTGTTCTTGTTGGCAACGTTAAAAGTATTGATACGTATTAGCTCATATTGGTTGATATATATCATTTTGGGAGCTTTCCGATATATTCCAATAAAAAGTGTAAGGAGGTTCTGAATAGTTCAGGGGGTGGAGGAGTCTAAACCGCCCCCTAAACTGGTTTTGAAAAAAAAAAAAAATACTATTGATATTGTCCGATACATCCCTACCAACATATCAAACATATCGATATTTAGAACCTTGCTTATTGAGTTTTCCTTGGGCCTGTTCAAAGATTTTCACAGACCTGATCTCTCAAGCAGAGGCACATACAATCCATGAACTAGACCAACACTGATTAATGCTTTCAACGGGCCGAGTCTGGATCGGAACAGAGTGGTTTCAGTACACAGAATCATCCCAATTAATAATTGGGTCTATTGGTTGGACCTACATAAAATTACATTTATTTATTTAAGGGTAAAAGACTTAAACTTCTCCTAATTTTTCCCTATATATATGTAAAGTGTGGGCCCAATGCAAGTATTATAAAGGTGCTTTTGTGTGGCCTCCTCAGTTGGTGGGTTCTTTTTTGGTGGGATGGGCTCGCTTGTAGTACTCTCTTTTCTTCTCTTTTCATTTTTTGTATACTTTTTTTTTGTGTATGGGTTTATTAATTAGTACATAAAATAACTAAAGGTGCAAATAGACCAGGATAGGGTCATAAGGGTGTCTTAGTTTGTTAATAATCTTAGAATTAAGCCAAGAGCATGATTTTGTATGTAAGAAATGTACCCAAAGTCTAAATGATTAGCTTGTTGGAGGCCTAAGTAGAGCCCAATCCTAGGGACAACAGGAGGTGGGCCAGGTTGCAAAATGGTGATGAAGTATTTAGTGGAATAGATTCAGTACCAACCAAATAGACATGATGTGTCATGTTTGTTGGCAGAAACTAGCAATTTCTGTAACTTGCTTTCTACTTGAACAAAAACATAGAAGGGCACAGGTGCTTTCAAGAACAGATATTTTGTTTGAGGGCCTTTCCCTTCTTGAATTAAAGCTTCACTGAATTGTTTACCACAAGTCAAAAATTTATATCTTTTCCTTAAAACATCACAAGAAATGAGAGCTGTAGTTTCATTCTCTAGTGATGGGTCATTAGAAATCAAACCAAAGAGCAACCAAAACCCAAGTTTGTTTATTGTTCTTCTATGGCAAATAGAAGTGCAACATATTCACTTTTAAGTCCATGTCATTGTATTAGCCCAGTTTTGAGGTTTTAAATGAGATGAAATTGATCTTAATGGACCACCCGGCCTATCTACTACTGATAATTAGGTAATTCACACTTAAAAGAGCTAGCAAGGACAGATAATATGATAAGCTATTGATGACTATAGTCCAATTTTAACAAACTTCCAAGGATAAAGAAGAATATAAATAGTTACTAATATTTACAGTTGGGTGTACCCAAAAGATACAAGAATAAAATGTAGTTTGTTTGGATTCATCTGGGGTTCCATGAGCAGCAAAATTTGTTAGTTCATTAGAAAGACTTGTCTCCCCACTTCTTAATGTTCCTTGCAAGATCATTCAACTTAAAGAATTCAAGATCTAACAGCGAACTAGTGAAGTTTGTAATGCCAACAAGGACTAGTGCCCTTTCTATTCTATTTTTATTTGCAACAGAAAATAGAAAATGACAAGATGGCATCCTGTACATAAAGACCCCATTGATTTGGCTTGCTTTGCACCACCTTTAATCTTCCACTGATTTGGATTATAATTTAGTACTGTTTGGTTCTCTTTTTTATGAAAAAAGGAATAATATTATTCTTTGAATGTACTACTCAGTAAGTTCACCTATAACTTATGTTCTTTCTCCAACATAGCACAACAAAAACATGTAACACCCTAGTTCTAACAACAAAACCAAAGAACCAATCCTCTAATTAGTTGTACTTCAACTTATATATAACCTCTTAATCCAACAAGAAAATAGGCTTCCCCAGTCATCCTAGAACATGATTATTTGTGATTCTGCTATTTTGAATGTCTGGATCAAATAAAAAAGACATGAAAAAGATAATTTCCAAAGAATAAGCATACATGACTGGGAGCTTTGGTTCTCAAAATGCTCTCCTTCAACTTGTGCTGCTCCTGTACGAACCTCTAGCCTTAATACACTTGATTTTAAGAGGTTGTGGGCAGACTACATAGAGGATAACCCAATACCTTGGAATCCTTGCTTAACTGCTTGCATTGTGTAAAGGATAAACTTGAGCAAAAAACCTTTGTCCACGACAGCTTTAACAACTCCATGATTATTTCATCAGATTCTTTTTTTCTTCTTTTTTCTTTTTGCCCCAAACTAGATTATGTAGTTCTACTTTCCCTATTTTGAAGCATTGTTAGATTCCCACTAATTTACTCATTATTAATTTTACTATTTCAAATTCTTTTTACTCATCCACTTCAATCCCTATTACATTCATTTTTTGGAGATCTTGTTTCTTAGTCATACAACACTCTACTACATTCATGTTTGAAATTATCATATATATTAATTCAAAAATCTAATTTTCATTGTATTTTGTTTTTCAGGTTGAATGCATTTATAATGAAGAGATTTGAGATCAATATTTTTTATTTTTGTTGTGGGTTATTATATGTAACATGGAGGTTATATTACCATGTATTTTTAGTTTTAATTAACATGTTAACTTTTTATAGAAATTTATCTATATATTTGATGTGATGTGAAAATAAAATAGGTGATTTCTCGTGTATGTCGCAAGTTTTTATAGTGGTAGAAAAGTCGTAATTGAATATAGTGACAAAATAAAATTGTCACTTTATTTGGAATATAGTCACAAATTTTCTATAAATTGAAACAATTAGCTATGGTTTTCCAAGAAATTGTGGGCATTTATTGCATCTTTTAGCCATAGTTTGTCAAAAAATCGTAGCTATAGGTTAGAGTATTTTTCTTTGGTTTTAGTAAAAAAAACGTGGTTATAGGTTTGTACATTTAGCTATGGTTTTGTACCAAACCGTAGCTATAAGTAAAAGAACTATAGCTACGATTTTATAAAAATCCGTGGTTATAGATTTGGGTATATAACTACAAACAATTTAAAAACCATAGCTATATGCATCTTTTAGCTACGGTTCAGCCTGTGGCTAAAAGTTCATATGGTTTGTGTTCGCCCTTTATCTACGGAAAGATACCGTAGCTATAGATGGGTTATAGCCACAGATTAGTTGTTCTATAGCCGTAGGCTATAGCCATACAAACATAGGCTACGATTTTCTATTCGTAGCTAAACTGTACCCATAGGTCTATAGCTATGGTTTTGTCTGTAGCTAAAGGTCATACTTCTTATAGTGAAGTCAATTAATGGGAGGTTGGTAGAGGATGGAGGGCCATGGAGCTTCCTTCTTTGGATTTTTAGAAAGCAGGAACCCATTTGCATGTAGGGGTGGCATTTGGATGGGTTGGGTTGGGTTAGATGCCGGTTGATGGCCAACCCATCCACCAACCACCCACATCTATTAATAACCGCATTTCTAATATGAGTTGTAAACCAAACCAAATCCATGATGTTGACCCATCTCTCTCTCTATATATATATATATTAAAGTAATGAAATCAGGCTAAAGTCTCCCAGTTAGACATGTGGTCTATTTACATTCAAACACCCGTCTTTGCAAGAAGAGAGACCACTCACTTGCAGACTAATAAAGCCCAAAGCCAACTACCATTAGACACATGGCCACCTCTGATTTTGTTTTCTCTTAAGCTTTACATACGTGTGATACTATAACTCTTCATACCTGAGAAGTGGGAAGTTCCCACTCTCAATCTCTTCTTAAAAAAAAAGCACAGTATCAAACAATTTTCAATCTTCGGACGTGAGAAGTGGGAAGTTCCCATTCTCAATCTCTTCCTAAAAAAAAGCATTAAAAGCATTAATAATTAATGCAATGGTATTCAGGCATGTACCATTAAAAGCATTAATAATTATAAAAGTACTGATATTTACATTTTAACATACCATTAATAATTAATTATCAAGACCCATATCAGTTTTATTCTTTACATAATATTTTGTTACAGTTTAATTACTGTTAATTATTTATAGCTAAATGCAATTTTCTGTTAATTAATAAATAATTACTCTTAATTGTTGTATGATGCACTGTTATTTAATTAATAAATATTTTATACTGTATGATGCACTGTTACATAATATTGTTTTTTAATAAATATTGTTAATTATTTAAAATACTATAATTATTAAAAATAATGTTAAATAATAAATACATTTCTTTTAATAAATGCTGTTAAATGTAATTTATTATAGTTTATAATTAATTGCTGTTAATTATATTACTGTGAATTAATAAATACTTTACTTTTAATGTCTTTACATTAATTTATTTAAATACTGTAAGTACCATA